GTTGACTTGACCCACCAATTTGGAAGCTTTCTATTTTTATAATATATCTTCCAGATTTCTCGGTCAATCATTTGCAATCAATCCACGGTGTATCAGGCTCATTTAATGTGCATTTAAGAGCTTTCCTTTCATGCACAATCTTCTAGCCGTTGGTTTTACAGCCGTTAGAAATTGCTTTGAAATTCTTCCAAGTGTCAGTCAGACTCTGATCGGGCTCTTCTGATATGTTGGATTCTGATGGCTTTCTGATAGGTGGTTCTGATAAAGCTTGGAGTCGAGCTCTGGTATCGGAACTCTGATGCTTTCATGTTGAGCAGTTCTGATGCAGTTGGGTTCTGATGAAGCTTAACATCGAACTCTGATGATTCTCTGATGAGCAACTCTCATGTCTTCCCGAGAGCAACTCTGAAAGCACTTCTCATAGAGCAGCTCTGATCAGATCCAAAAGAGAGCAACTCTGATCGTCGACTACACTAATACTTACAACTGAAAGTCATAATACATAAAATCTAATTGGGGTACTTTAAAATTCTAATCTAATTATCCTAGCATCATCAAAATCTAAATACATTTATTCCTTACACTATAGGATCCGAACAACTGTTCTCCTAAGTGTTTACAACAACATGAATTGGTTCACGAAGTTTCTAACCGCCAACTAAAACCTAAGCTCTATAAATGTTACAATGAATGATCTAGTCTAAGAGCTTAGTGAAGCATGAGTCAAAGCAAAGTGTTCAAGCACTTTTTCTTTTGCTGGATATTCGTAGTGTAATGACTGAACCACTTGCTTTGAACTCAATGACTTACTTTTGATCTCATGCTTCTGCCTATTTTTATAGGCATCTCCAGTAGATTAATCTCCTCCGTTGGTTAAGAGGATTTAATCCTAGACGTCCAAAGTATTGTACTTGCGTCTTCTTGTGTTGGAGCAGGATAAGGATTTGTCTTTGAAGGCCACTTGCTTTGTACGAAGATAACACCCATACCTTAGGCCTTCTTATCGCTGCATGCCTATTCTGAAACTCTTCACTATTCACCTATTCTAATGTCTTCTCTGCTCTTGCATTCTGAGTGTATTGGCCTTGTCTTGCAACTACACTTGTGAAGCTGAGTGCGTGAACCTGCTCAAGTAGTGAAGTAGTAAAATGTGTGACTTAGAATATTTTGTATCAAATAAATTTTGTACTGGTAGGATCTTTGAAATATCCTATTAAGGTAATAAGATTACCGTATTGCATTTTGTTCTTTCCAGTACAATTTATTTGGTACAAATTTCACAGTAAAATTTGTCACTTATTTTACTAATCACTTTCTTTCTTTAAGTGACATGATTAAACTTATGTATCAAATTAAAGCTATACTGGTTGGATCTAAATATCCATGTAAGGTAAATAATTTTTACCTTATTGCATTTTATAGTTCCAGTATGTTTAATCTGATACATAGTTTGTACATTGGAATTCTTGTCACTTTTAAGCAGGTACCTTGTTAACTTAACTGGTAGGAAATCAAATTCTTTTTAAGGTAAAAATCATTACCTTATTGCATTTTGTTTTCCAGTTAGTTAACCAATATTCTTGTTCACTTTGATTTATCTATATATCAAATAACACTTTACTGGTTGGATTTAAATATCCAATTTTAAGATAAAGACAACTTTACCTTATTTCATTTTGAATCCCAGTGTGTTCTATTTGTTATATAGAATTTACATTGTTATTTGTTGAACAGAATATCAAGAACTCTTCTTCTGAGTGTATGGTTTATCTAGTATTTCGAACATGATAAGCTAAATATTTAACTGGTAGGATATCAACTCCTATTAAGGTACAATTACCTTATTGCATTTTGTTTTCCAGTTAGAATAGATAGTTCATTTGTACGAGATGTTATTGTGTGTAACAAATAAATTTAACTGGTTGGATTTATACGATATCCTTTTAAGGCAATACAATATTGCCTTATTGCATTTTATGGTTTTCCAGTCATATTTATTTGTTAACTATATAAAAAGGAGCACGACACATCTAGATAATTTTCTTAGTACTAGACAACTGCAAGATGCTACAACAGAGGATAACAAAGACTCCTATAATGATGCTACAATAGAGGGGGGATAACAAAAGCTTTTGGCATCATCAAAACAGTTCATCAAAATTTAGGGTCTAACAACATCATATCACCAGAAGAATAGCTATTGTCCAAACCAATAAAATCATACCTTTGGACCTCAAAACCCGATCTCCACCGTCCAGAATGTTGGCTCAGATGCTGTGAAGCTGTTGGCCAAAAATCACGGCGATCCAAGTGTTCAATCTCTGAGAAACTTAACTTTTCTGCTGCTGCCTGCTGGAAAACGGGATGAGCATTCAGCTCATGTTTTGTGACGTTGGTTCTATCTATTCGCTGCTCTCTTTATGTCCTTGTATTTTGAGATAGTGGTCGACCCTCTTATTTTATTAGCTCCCAAAATAGAAAGTCTAAATAAGACTTTAATGGGCTCAATACTCGGGATTTCCTCATAGGTCGAAAATAAAGAAAAACCAAACAATTTCGATCCTCTCTTCTAATTTCCGAAGAAGAGTATGGTATTTTTGTGAGTGAGCAAGTTATCTGGGCTTTCCACACTGAGACTTTTGTCTCGGCGATGTTTAGAGCATCTCCAATAGGCACATGGATTGCTTAAAAATGCATTGCCACATCAAGTAAATAGACATTGAGATTAAATTACTAGCTCCAATGGAAACACATGTATATGAACCGTGCGGCTGAACTGGATTGAAAAAAAAAATGCACACCGTCTACCTGCCTTTCTACCTGTGGAGGGTCCGTCTCATAGGCTAACTCAACAATTTATTTATGTCCTAGATTTGTTTTGCTGGTCTTGTCTGGTCTGTTTAAGTCTGATATGGTCTGGTCTAGTTTGTTTAAGTCTGGTCTGATATGGTTTGAATTGGTCTGGTCAGGTAAATTTCTAGTCTCTTTGTATTGTATAACTACGAATGTCTGGTCTGATCTGGTCTGTTTAAGTTTGTCTGGTCTGTTTAAGTCTAGTTTGATCCGGTCTGTTTAATCCTGAGGTTTGGCCTGTTTAAGTTTTGTCTGGTCTATTCTGTTTAGATCTGATCTGATCTGATCTGAGATTGAAAACAATCCAAATAAAAAGATACGGATTACTTACTGATGACAACTCCGGTACCCATTAAAAAATGGGGCACCGTACCTACCATTCACGTGATTGGTCCAAATCATTATATCATATTTATTTTAGATTTAAATAATTCAATTGCATCATTCTGATTGGTACATGTGAACAAATGTTTTGTACTTTAAGGGTACCATAGAATCTACTTGCTTAAAACCTAGATTTATATGACCCTTTTTACACATCTAAGACCATTTGTAGTGGTTGAAGATTAGGAGTCAAAAGATTAAAAATGGAACTTTTAGACTCTTAATTGGATGTAGTGGTGGATTAAAAGTGGGAGTAAAAGTGGGAAGGGGAGTGGAGGAGTCTAAAAGTAGGGTTGGTTTGCAACTGCTTTTAAAAAAACACTTCTCATTTTTTGGCTTTAAAAAAGCACTTATTTTTCCAAACACTACAACTTTTATTTTTCTCGGCTTCCGCGTCAAAAGTGCTTTTACTTTTTCTATTACACAAAAAGCACTTATTTTACCAAACACTATCCACTTTTACTTTTCAAAATCACTTTTTTCTCAAACACTATCAACTTTTATTTAATCACTTCTTCCCATTTCATTAAAAAAGCACTTTTTTGAAAGCAGAAGCTGTTGCAAACAGACCCTAAAAGTAGAAGGTTGGATTGACAGGGAAAAAGGAAGAAGAAGAAGTGGCTGCTTCCGCGGGTTGTTCATGTATTCTGCTGATGTCACGATGATGTCATTAAATCCCCAATTATTTTTAAACTCTTATAACTTTTTTATTTGTTCTCCAAATTTTACACAAAATATATCAAAATTCATGAATTTTTATGATCTTTCATATGACACCAACATGTAATAATATAAAATGAATTTTGTTTTTGAAGTATTAACTGTTCAAGTTTTCTTGAACCCAAAAAAATACGAAATACAATTTTTTAATTCATTGAGCTTTCACAAATACTAACTGAATATTCCATAATCAAATTTTATTTGAACTAAGTTCATTTTTTGTTAACCAAAAGCCATTTAAAAAAATGGCTTAAATACGTTTTTACTCACTGCAAATATGACACACTTTGTTTTAGGTCCCTGCAAAATATTTTTCTTGTTTTTCATCCCTGCAATATGCACTATTTTGTTTTTAGTCCATCTCCAGTTCCGAAACTACTCTACTTACAACAAAATTATTGTCAATGATATAAATCTAGTAGAAATATTTGAATTTATCCTTTTATAATTTTTTGAGTCTAGTATGAGAGTTAAAATAATTTAAAACTAAGTATTCATATTTTAAAAATATAGATTAAAAACCTTCAAAAAAAATACAATAAAATACTATTTAAATAATATGACAAAGAATTACGGAAATCTATTAATCGGGGTTATTTTAAGGTCAAACGGAGATTGTTATCATCAATGATGGACTAAAAAGAAAACCAACGTAATTGCAGGGACGAAAATAAAAAAAATAATTTTACAGGGATGTAAAACAAAATGTGCAATATTTGCAGGGGACTAAACACATATTTAAACCCAAAAAAATAGTGATTTTTCTTTTTTTTTTTACTTTGAAATGTGTATTTTTTATTTCATTAGTATCTTGGGAAAATTTCAAAACGAAAATATTAATTATAATAATTTAATTAATGTTTTACTAAATTGATATGTAAAAAATAAGCAGAGTGTACTTTATTGACGGTGCACGGATGCGGGGAAAACCGGTATTGACGGAGTCTAAACACTGTTTTTATATGGACGCAGTCCAAATTAAACAATTTGGACTCTTGACCACTGCAAATGGTCTAACAACCAATAGGAAATCACCAACACGCAATAAGCAGGCCACGTCATATAGTAGCATCCGGAGTGAAATTTGCGAACGCAGATACTATAGACCTTCAATCGGAAAATTGAAACGGGGAAAAGAGAAGTGAGAACATGGCGGAAGAACCACCGAAGAAGATAACTATCCAGGCTGAACACTCTTCTTCTGCGTCGCCGTCTGATAAACCTTCCGAGGACTCCATCAATGCACCCCAGGTATCAGATTTTTGTTCCTCAGATAAAATGCCTAAAATCACACGCTTCTCTATTGTGAGGAGCAGGGGTTTCGGATCCAATGCACTTTTTATATATATAGATGTTAAGGCTTCCATTTTATGGGGAATGAGCAGTTATGTAGTCTGTATGTATATTTGTTACAACAAACTATACCCACGCTCTGCTAATTCTGGGTCAAAAGTTTCCTGAGCTGAGCTCGGTGTAGATGTTTGAAGTAATAGACTGAGAAAATGAAATGTGGATCAATATGAAAAGGACTAGATAGATTTCATGGTAGTTGACATGTTTTAAATATAGCCATTGGGGTACTACTCAGCATGCCCCCCTTGTTGATTTTCTCCTTTTGTGTGTTCTCAATGAAAATTTTGTCTTCTTCAAGTATATTTCATCAGCCTGACAATATTTAAAGCAAAACCCAGAATGTTCTGATAGGTTGAGAGGATAATGTGTGTGGTACGTAGGATAAGTGACCAGATTTAAGATTTGAAAATACAAAACCAATTAAAACTAACATTGTTGTGAACAACCACCAGATACATCTGTACTTGTTTTGTGATGAAAAATCATGTTTCATATGAGTATAATCTACTCCGTATATGTAATTTAATATAGTTTGAAGTTTTAGCATAAAATTCACATATAAAAATTATAAATTTAAACGAGACTAAAAAATTAATATCTTTGTGTGCGCACACACACTGTTAACCTTTTCTGAGTGTAATCTTTTGCCTTAAATAATGCACTGGCACACTCTGTAGAACATTGAGTTGCATAGGTTATCCAGACTGCTCGTACAAGAAATCAAGAATATCTTGTATAGTTGCTTCAATTGATTGGCTCACATTTTGTGTGTGCCTTCTTTAGGATTTATTTATTCATTCTATTTGAATGTGGTTTTTTTTATGACATTTCTGGAGTTGTTGATTACATTTAGCGAAAATATGCATTTGTCATGTTAGACTCTTTTCCATTTTTGCCCCTATACAGATGCCATCAGCATATGGTTCTTCCTTGGTTGATAGCAATAATCAAATGCACCCTACAATGTACCAGCCACTTCTTTCTGGATTTTACTGTCCACAACAGAACCAGGAGGAGTTGAATCGTGGTCCTGGTCTGTATGCCGTTTCAGTTCATCCTTTTATGGATAATGTGACTGGATTTCCTCCCATCAGACTAATCCCTTTAACTTACACTGTACCCACGTAAGTTCTCTGATTGAGTTCAACAATAATCTTATCATTTTCTCATTTTTATTTTCCATTATTTGCAATGCTTTTATAATTTATAGGGTATGGTCTGTTCAATATATATTTGATGCACTAATAGACTTGCTAGTCAATGGACTTCATTTTTCCTGATTATAATTATTATTGTTATTGTTATTATTTTTATCCCTATTGTTATTGTTCTTATGCATATATAGTTCAGTTGGGTCAGGAATTATGATGTATTTTGCTTGAGCGTTTTCTTTGGGGCCATGGGGGTTAGGTTCTGCATTTATAATTTTGCAGGTTCATACAGTTATAATATATACTCGTCTCTTTTGTTAGATTTATTTTCTCTTAAGGTTTCCTCAATATAATGCTAATTTTCCTAATTCAAACAACATTCACTTTTTATTTTTGTATCCATCATTGGCAAGGAGCAGTTTCTAATGATAGGTAAAAGTTAAAAACCACAGTATGCGGTCAATTAGATTGTATATAAAATGTTGTTTTTCATATAAAAAATGTTTATCATTTTATAATATCATGTTTTACGTATCAACAGAAAAAATCAATCTGCTTCATGAAAAAATGACTATTTCTCTTCAAAAGAGCAAGTCGTTTTTTCCCAAAGCTCAAAGATTTATGGAAAATACACTGCCATTTTGATATGAGTTCGTCTCCATTTGATGCATATTTGTTTCCCATTTAAGCCTAAGTGCCACCCAAAAATATAGAAGTTTGTGAAAGAGCGAAACATATTGGTCAATGGTCATCCAATGGAGAGGTTTTGATAATTGACACTTGTCTTATAGACATGGCCTGTCTCTAGCTATGACTGATATGATAGATGCTTTAGTAATTCTTTTTCAGAGATGAAATTCACTTTTGGCCTAATTCATAAGAATAATCCCCAATTTTAGGGATTCTACAATAATAATCCATACTGAAAGTGTTCATAAAAACAATCCCTATTTTTTGGTTTGGGAATATGATGGAATAAAGCAAAATGGCTCACTAAACTGTGTGCGCTTCTGGCTCTCTTTGTTATGAAGCAACAGTCAGCTCATGTCATTTTCGACGCGATTTTCACTATGGGTCATCCGGAAACAGTCTCTCTGTGTGCTTTAGTAGAGGGTTAAGACTGTGTACATCCCCCCCTACACCACAGTAGGTGGGAGCCTTTGCGGCATTGGGATAATGATGATGATGATGAGCTGTGGTGTCTTCAAAAATAAATTGGGGTGAATACAAACTAAGCCTATTTACTACCCTCATCTCCTACAATTTATATCATCTAACCTAGAGACAACTATGTATTACGGAAATGTCATTGCGATTAAACGGGTATTAAATTGAATTCATCCCGAGAAGAAGAGTGAGGAAGGGGAAAGTGTGAGTAGGGATTGAGAGTATTAGACAGGCATTAGTTTGAGTTCATCCCGATTTATTCTTGTGAACTAGTTTGGATTATTTTTATGAACACTCTAAGTATAGATTATTATTGTAGAGTCCCTTAAAGTGGATTATTCCTGCTTTCAAAAAAAAAGTGGATTATTCCTGTGTATTTCACCTTCACTTTTTAAATAAGTTTTATTTCTTTCTGTTATTAAAATATAAGATGAGAGGTACTATCAATTTTATTATTCTTAAATACACACTAATCAATTTTATATCACCGCATCAACATTTGTCCTTTATTAATGCTTCATGTATTCTGTGAAAAAGCAAATTTCCTATCTGTAAAAACTTTCCTTTTGATTACTGCTATTGCACCAATATCTATTCATAGCTACTGTGAACAGTGAACATAGTTCCACTGAGAATAGAACCGGGAGCAACGAGCAAGGACATGCGGTAGAGCTACAACAGCAGCTACCTGAACCTCATCACCATGTAGTTGTGAGGAGATTTCAAATTGCATTTCAGCGAGACCTCTTTCTGATCCTTAAGTTGGCTGCAGTAATTTATTTGTTCAATCAAGATGGATCCAAGCAAAGACTTGCCGTCCTTGTGTTATTCGCTTCACTTATTTACCTGTAAGCCATTTTCAATTCGCATAATGTTCATTTGTTCTGATCTCTTTAGTTTTAACTGCCTTATCCCCTTGCACAGTTGCACCCTACAAATTTCTGCATTTTGTTAGCAGTCCTAGCAGTACTAGTATTGATGTCGTATTAGGTATCCCATAATAAGTTCCATTGGGATTCTAATCGATGTAAGGCACTTGGCCTATTTAATAATAATAATAAGAGGATAATTGAGAATCCATTGAAATCTTAAGAAAGTCGCAAACTTTCTTCTCTGCCACCGCGGGTGGCAAAGTGCCTTAGTCACACAACAACTTCATTGTCCACTTTGACTACCTCAACATTTAGCATGCCTGGGACTCGTTTCATATCACAGGTCGGTAGTGATATACTTGAGCAAAAAGGCACTTGAAGAAGACATTTAAAGACTTCTGCAGTGTATGGTACCCTTTCTTCATTGAGGATTGTATTACAGGTCTCCGCTCTTCATTGGCTGCCCTGTTTTTTTTAAATAAATATATTGTAAATGGACAACAAAATAGGAAATATCATTTTGTATATAAAGGTTTGGCTAGTATCCATACTAAGTAAGAAACAAGTCTTAAAGGGACAGAACATGGGTATTGGTCCTGTGAAAGTGCTCATCACAACAAACTACACAGTTATGCATCCACTCTCTTCCGTACATCCTGTTCACCCTTGATTTGTGAAGCCTTTGCAGTTAAATGATCTTTTACGCCTCAACATGCGTCATAACCATAAATATTTTGAGAGCATGTCAACTTCCTGAGTTCCCGAATGATAAACCGAATTTTGAGATAGATTTCAAACATAAATAGACACTGGTTCATTTCTTTCAGAAGTCTGATTTGCTTGATGATTGATGATATTAAAATACTCCCTGCCTTAAAATTCTTCCCACTTACCTTTTTAGGACATCACAATAAATTCTTCCCATTTCCTTTTTTGGAAAGTTTTGTGTAGCTAACATTAATTTACCTTTTTCTTACTCAACCACAACCATACATTTCTACTTTATTCCCAGTTTAACTCCAATCCAAGTCAAACCGGGAAGAATTTTATGGGACGGAGGGAGTATGTTGTTTGTCATAATGTGCGAAAAGAACTGAATAGAATTAAAGCTTCTAGAAGAAGAGAACAGGATTGGAATATTTCAATAGAGAACTCCACCGAAAGTAGCCAGCCACAAGGGTGAGTTTTTGGTGTGTAGTTATGGCATGTCTACAAGGGGCCTCTTGTTGTAAGTTTTTGTCAAAAAGTGGCTGAAGATGCTTCTAATTAAAAGCAGTGTACTGCTCACCATGAAAAAGAAAAGCGGCTAGGATTTTGTAGATTTTTTTGGATTAGGTCTCATACAACATTGAGAATAAACTATATTTTTATTCATATGACTTGTGACTTGTGAGTTGTGACTTACAACCTATAACTTCTGAAGACAATTACAATACTGATATAGAGAAATGATGGGCTTTAACATAGTAGGGAAATTAAATTGAAATATTCCTTACCTTGGTATTCATTGTACGACTCTTGATGTGTTAAGAAAGGATGAGGAGATGGAATTAATTTGAGTGTATAATATGGTTTTAGTCCCTGGAAATAAAGAGAAATTTGATTTTTCTCCCCCTTAAGATCGATGTTTTTGCTTTCCTGTAAACATAAAATTGTTGGTTTGTCCCTCCATTATTTTTCCCTAAGGTGAATGAGAGATACAAAACTTGTGGTGGCCGGTAACAAAGTTATTCAGTCCCCCCAAATACAGTAATGTTCATTGTTGCTCTCCCCTTTGAAAAGTGATGTTTTTTTGGTTTCCCATTAATGGGAAATATGTTTTGATTGTTGTAATATATCCAGTTAATTTCCAGTAAGTTGAGGGCTTTAGGATGTTCTTACATGGACTGTAATTCGTCCCAGACCAGACAGACTTGAATAGTTAAAAAAATACAAAAACCAGACCAGGCCAGACCAGACCAGACCAGAACAACAAGTTACAGTCCAAGTAAAAACATCCTTAGACACAAAACTCTCAGATGAGATACGACTAAGGGTCTAAGTCCTTGAACTTAAAACTCTCAGATGCGATGCAACCAAGGGTCTAAGTCCTTGGTCTTGTTCAGCTGTTCAATGCCTCAAGCCCAATACACCTGGAATGAAGCGGTGGACATTTCTATATTTTGGGGGACCAAAATCATTTTTGACCTCCAACCTAATTTTCTTTGCCATGTTACCGTGCTACACTGGTACTAATGGAAATGGTCCGGCTCAATTTCATTTTTAGGACGGATAAACAATTTTGTGGGATTAAAATGTATTTTACTATATGAGTTTATGTCACTTTTAGTCCTCCGACTATTATGTCACTGACATTTTTGGTACTTGACTTTGAATTTTTCTACTTTAGTTCTTCCACTATTGTGCGAAAGACACTTTTGGTACCCATCTTTGAAATATTTCATATTTAGTCCTTCGACTTTCACAAAAGTGACACTTTTGGTCATTCAACTTTTATAGTGGTGACATTTTAGTCCTTCACTTATTGTAGCAAAATCATAGTGGGAAGATTAAAGTGTCAATTTGGTAATACTTAGGGGACTAAATGTGGGGAATTTTGAAGTGGCGAAAACTCTTTTTTATATTTTGGAGACGGGAAAAATAATAAAAATACCCCAAACTTGATGGGGTGTGAAGTAAACGCCCCAAACTTACATATGTATTTTAAATACCCCAAACTTTATACAAAAAAATATTTTTGCACCATTGTCATGTATTATTTCTTTCAAACATGTTTTTTTATGGGGTTATAATTGCATAAATTAAAATTAAAATAGCAAATTAAAAGTGTTTCAATTATATGGATTGGCCGTACATTATTATTTCAAAATGGAAATTTATAATGTTAGTTGTGTCTTCGTGAATTCTAAAATATTTTAAATTATGCAATTAACACAATAAATTTACATTTTTTAAAGAAATAATACTTGATAATTGTGTTAAAATAATTTTTTATATAAAGTTTGGGGTATTTAAATTACATACGCAAGTTTGGGGTAATCATCTCACACCCCTTCAAAATTTGGGGTATTTTATTTATTTTTCCCTTTGGAGACTAAAGCATACTCTCTCCGTCCCAGCTTAAGGTTCTCATTTTCCCTTTTTGGATATCCCAACTAAAAGTTCTTTTTTTTTACTTTAGGAAATAATTAGCACTCTTAAATGACAATTTAATTATCAAATATTAAAACTAATACATTTATAACATCACAGTTATCATCAATAGGAGTATTATATTCCCATCAAAACTATTTCTCAAAATACTCAAATTACCTTATTTAATTATTATCTAGATAACCGTGCCATTTGACAATGGGAACCTTAAGCCGGGACTTAAGGTAGTATATTACTCCGTACATTTTTAGCTATTAGTTTATTTCTCAATTTGGTCATTAAACTGATTTGTGCGTATGTGAAATTACAATATTTCTTTGTTTTAAGATTCTTTCAAATATTGTCCTATTTGTCATTGCAGATATCAAACGGGGGCACTGGCACCATTAGTTAGATGGCTTTCACAGGGAATGCGGAGGGGTGGTGCACCCCCTCGACGACCTAGACCAGCAGCCAGGGCTGAAAATGCTGCACTTGTTGGGAGGCAAGGAAATGAAAATGATGGTGCAGAAGGTAGTGTAATTGACCTTGTCTTGTTGTCTACAAACAGTTCAAGACTCGATTACCTTTAGATACACTAATACATAGTAACATTTTCGCATCTGCACATTTGCATAGGTTCAGTACTGGTATCATATTCATGTAAATACTTGTTGGTTTTGCTAAGTTGTGTCAATTCATTCTGGCATGAACTTGTTTTTTGCTTTTCTGGCAGTGGTAGAAGGAAATGAGGGAGAAAATGAGAACAGGGCAGGGCCAAATGAACAAGGAGCGAATCAACCAGGGGTTGTAGAGGATGGAAATAGGTTCTGGATCATCGTGAAGGAGATCCAATTGATTGTGTTTGGCTTCATTACTTCACTTCTTCCTGGGTTTCACAACATAGATTAGATTATAATCAACTGTATACCAAAGCAGCCATACTAGGCTTTTTTTGAAGGATCTTTGTGTTGTATCTATAATTTTATGAAAGTTTCTACATCTATTCACAAGCCCTGGAATAGCCAAATTCATGCTAACCAAACATGCTCTTAATTTGTAATCTATGCCCGAATAGTACTTGATAAGTAAACCATATCTACAAGAAGATATTTTAGCAGGTTAACAATGGTTAGAAAGACATTCTGAACATTTTAACTATGCCTATAATTCCATAAATGCTTATTGAACCCCACGCGGCAGTGAATGCTTTTATGCACTGATCCTTTTATTTTAAAAATTTGTCAAATTATGCCTACATGGCTACATTTGTGTAGGTCGTATGGCGATCATATTCTAGGTATTGAACATATTCTTTATGGGGGTTAGGTCACCAATATAACTAAATAAATGGAATTTGACAAATATAGTACCTCTTTGTCTAATGGCCAGAAAAGAGACCATACGTATGATCTACGCATAAGTTTGGGATAGGGCTGGACTCGGGCCGGTTCGGGCCCGGCCGGGCCTCGGGCCAGGAAAGGGAGGCCCGAGCCTGAACCGCCGGTGGCCGGTTCCGAGCCAAACCGGGCCGGGCCGAACCGGCCCAATTAATTTTTTTTGTCCTCCTATTTAATCCCCTACCCCTCCCCCTCAACCCCAAACCATCCCAAACCACCTCAAAAGGCCCAAAATACCTAATCCAACCTAAAACTTAAAAAAATTTCAAAAAAAAAAAAAAAATTTAAAATCCGGCCCGGACCGGGCCCGAACCGGCCGGGCCGGTTCACCAAAACCTGGGCCCGAGCCCGAACCGCCCAACAGCCGGGCCGGGCCGAACCGAACCGGTGGACCCACCGGGCCCCGGGCCGGGCCAAACAGTAACCGGGCCGGGTCGGTTCCGGGCCGGGCCGCCCGGCCCGAGTCCAGCACTAGTTTGGGATATGAATTATCAAATATACCCCTGCCTAACTAATTAATAGGAGTATCCAGCAATCTGCTTATGTTGCTTACGTATCGTTTTTCCTTCTCGTTTCCCCCGCAAATGCAATAGCAAAGTTCGAAGAAATTGACTTTTATATCTTCTCCCCAATTAATAATCATCATTCCTCCTTATCTTTTTTTGTTTGATCCTGTAACAGTGACTAAGTTGACCATGACCAACTCAATTGGTGATCATGACTACCCCGTTCAGTTACCATGCCAACTCGCCAGTTATCACGATCAACCCGTACAGTTACCATTACCAACTCGTCCAATTATCATGACCAACCCGATCATGACCAACCCGACCATGACCAATGCGACCATGACCAATCTGATCATGACCAATGCGACCGTGACCAATGCGACCATGACCAGTTCGACCATGACCAGTTCGACCATGACCAATCCGATCGTGACCAATCCGACCATGACCAATCCAATCGTGACCAGTTCGACCATGATTAATCCGATCGTGACCAATCCGACCATGACCAATCCGACCATGACCAACCCGACCATGACCAACGCGGCCCTGACCAATCCGATCGTGATCAATTCGACCATAATCAATCTGACCGTGACCAATCCGACAGTGACCAATCCAACCACTGACCAATCCAATTAATGACCATGACCATTCAACACCAACACCGAACGGCTGCCCCGACCACCGTTGCCCAGAACACCACTGCATTGACTACCGTTGGTGCCGCCACCCATCACCAACCATCCCCCTCCCCAGCCCCATCCCCCTCCAGCACCCTCCCCCAGCCCAAACTCCCCTGCCCAACCCCCTGTTACCCAGCCCGCACCCTGTCTTGCGCCCACCCTTCTCTCCATATCCAAGTTCAACCAGCTTAACCCAACCTCAATTGACTTATCCCTAGCTCGCCGCCGCCTATCCCTAATCAACAAATTCTAGTCACCGGATCAGATCTAGAATTAGCCGTCTACAACTGAGCCGCCACAGGAAACCATAGCTTAGCCAGAGTCATCTTCGCCCGTCCAGTACCGTGCTTAGATTCACCTCCTTCACTCTTAGTCTCCATCGATGGGTTCAGACAGAAAGAGAAGAAAGAGCAGATGGGATGGCCACGACTCATGAGCGACGAAGTCGGCAGTGCGGCGCGCAACAAAGACAACGAGCGGCTACTTCAGATGAAGGGGAGAAGGTCGCAGGAAGAAGCACAAAAGAAAGAGACCATGGCCGCAGGAAGAAACACAGAAGCAGAGAGACCATGGCTGCAAGTACGAAGCTGGGGGAGAACGAATGAAAACATTCGTAATAATAGGGAAGGTTAAAATTGTAAATGAACAGTGAAAATGGTCTCGAATCTAGAAAACGAGAGATCTGTCCATATTTTTGTCATTACGTTTCCCATTAGTATTATGTAGGTCATTCTTTCTTCTTTTTGTTTAAAAAGTTCATATTTAATCCATTTTAATTTTTGTACGATTGCACAAGTCCAACCCAGTCTGTTCACAGTAAGCTAGTCCTGGACTCGGGCCGGGCCTAAGCTTGGACGGGCCTCCGGTTCTGAATGGGTGGGCCCGGGACCGGCCCGTGTAGCCACCAGGTCCGGTCTGGGACCGGCCCGTGTAGCCACCAGGCTCGGTCCGGGGCCGGCCCATGTAGCCACCAGGCCCAGTCCGGGACCGGCCAGGCCTCGGGTCAATATTTTTTTCCTTTTTCTAATTACCCCCCCTCCAAACCACCCCAAATGGCCCAAAATACCCAGCCAACCCGAAAAGTTAAAAAAAATTGAAAAAAAAAAAATTAAAAAGCCCGGAACCGGGCCCGAACCGGCCGGGCCAGTTTGGCTTTTGGGTGACCTGAGCCGGCACCGGGAACCCCCTGGTCCGGGCAGACCCGTGGAGCCTTTGAGGCTGCTGAGACCTTTGCCTCAAGCCCCCAAAATATTAAGGCCCCATTTTACTAGTGTCTATGTATTACTACGGTTAGGACTTAGTATTATTTAGTAAGGTCAATTCGTGTTTAGAATATCTCAAATCAATTCTAAAGGAATTTAAATACTTATCTATAGAAAAACTAACGGTTATCACAAGCTACCAAGGCCAAAACGAATAGTTCCCAATTCCCAAGACTTCCTAATAAATACTACGTGTATTCCAATTATCAATTTAAGGGTTTTCTAATTCTTTTTTTCTCTAATTAATTCTTTTACAGTAATGAGTGATATTGCAACTGAAAATAAATAAATTTCTTTTACAGTTATATTTTGGGATAATTTGAGTTTGCACCCCATTTTATTGTCTAAATTGGACTGTCCACCCCGTTTTTAAAAAAAATTGTTCACCCCAATCCCGTATGAAAAGATAAAAATGCCCCTTGGTCAGGATATGTTAAAGGCCAACAAAATCGTTAATGGAGGGGCATTTTTGTCTTTTCATATGGGGTTGAGGGTGCAAAAACAAAGTTTTTTAAAAATGGGGTGCAAAGTCTAATTTGAACAATAAAATGGGGTGCAGACTTTAATTACCCCTTATATTTTTTCCTCAAAAATAGGCCTCATTTCACTTTTTGTCTCAGGCCTCCCTTTCTCTAGACACGGCCCTGGGTCCGGGCCTACCCGGACCGGTCACTGACCGGGCCACCGGGCCGGTTCAGCACAGTACCGGTCCCGGACCGGTTCCAAGTCGGGCCACCCGGCCCGAGTCCAAGACTATAGTAAGCACGTTCAACTTTTAATATACTTCCACAATGATTAGTCGTTCGACATTTGGATATTTCGATCATTCTAAGAACCCACTAAAATTTCAGCTTTCAAGCTTCAACACCAAACATTATGGAATATTCTCAAATACAAAGTATGTATTGTTTTTATTGTCCATATATGAATCACAATTATTTGATGTATTTATAATGAGTAAATTGCCAAAATGGGACTAAAAGATTAGAGAATTGCAAAATCAGGACCACCGTGTTTTTTAGACCTTCGTTAGGACTAAAATATATTAGATGGACAAAATTAACCCTGAATACAAAAGGTTAACAAAACTCCCAACTCTCCCGGGACGCACTGCAACGAGACACCACCAACACCTGCGCAGGCTCGATGCCATCGAAGCTGTCCTAACTGCCAGCTGATGAGACCACCGACACCGCCGGATGAGACAGCCGCTGCCCCCAGCTGAGACCGCCGCCGCCAAGTGAGAATGCCGCCTGCTTACCCACCAGGAGACTGCCGCCACACACCTCTTGAAGTCGGATTGCTGCCCTCCGACGAGAATGGTACCAGGTTGTCATCCGCCGCCGCTGAGTTATCCCATGGAGGTGCCAGCATCTTCTCTGCAGCTGTCATCTCCTCTTCTCTGCAGCTGTCATCTCCTCTACAGATCGACTATGTTCCAAATGCCTCGCTAGAATGCCATCTCGATAAAAAGAATGACAAAAACATGTCATTTTTCGATCTAAACATAGACATTTTATCAGAATAAGAAAATACTATCTGGATAAAAAAAAATGACAAAAACATGGCTAAGATGCAAAAGCATGTCATTTTTGGATCTAAACATGACATTTTTCAGACATAAGAAAATGTCATCGGGATAAAAAAAGATTGACAAAAACATGGCTAGAATGCATGCCATTTTTTGTTCTAAACATGTCATTTTTGAGACATAAGAATGACAGTCTTTCAAAAATGTCAAAAGCATGACACTCTCAAAAATGTAATATTGCCCATCTCCCAAAAATGCCATAATATGACATTATTTTACAAGTTAGTAATATACATTTTTCCTTAGAGCACAAATCCCTAAAATTTCAAACAGCTTCGAATCTTCACAACCAAAAGTTTCCAATCCAGTAAATTCGTTCACATCAAAAACAACATTTTTGTTTAGAATCTAAAATATAAAAAATAAATTAATTGAAAATTGTAATAAAAGCAAGAGCAGCGGAAATTAAAACAGGGGAGAGGGAAGAACGAGAATGAGAAGAGAATTCAGGAGATGAGAAGGTGAAGAAGAACGAGAAGAGGGTTACCTGTGCGCGGAAGAGGGTATTGATGAAAGACAGAGAGGCGGCGATAAGTAGACTCCAGTAGTTCTCGTTCAATTGGTAAAGATGCAGCAGATGTCGGTAGTAGTTCTCGTTCAATTGGTAAAGATGCAGCAGATGTCGGTTAATTTTATCATCAGGGGTAAATTGGTAATAGGAGGTCCTATTTAGGGAATTTTAAACATCAAGTCCTATTTGAAAGTTTTCCCAATGTTTTAGTCCTACTTAATTCAATTTCTTA